CTTGATATTTGCATGTTGAATATGCAAAATAAATTTAGTATTTAAGGAAAATAGTGTAATAAAAATTTCATAAATATGTTATTTGATTTACTATTAATATCTGCTTCTTTTCCCTTTCCTAGCTAACTATAAATATATACAGTCCTTCTCAAATAACAGGCAAAAACTAACTGAATAAGCTCTCCAGCTTGGTCATGGCCTCCTAGTTGTTCCCTCCCCCACCCGCCCTGCCCCATTCACTCTTTCTATCTCCCTCCCTGTATGTCTGTCCCTCATTCCTAACTCTGCCCTTCTCTCTACATCTCTGATTCCCCTGCTTTCTAACTCTGCCCAGGTGACTATCCCTCTCAGTGTTTTTTACTTCTCTGTCTCTGACTGACCCTCTCTCTCTGCCTATTTCATGTGTCTCTATGATGATGTATGCAGATGTCTTTGAGCTCTTCTCTTGGATTCTGCCTTTCGGTCTCTCCCACACTTATCCACCTCATTTTCAAGACATCCTTGTTTACTTTTCCTTTTAATATTTATAAACAAGCAGAGTTGGTTATTAACCCTATTTTAAAGATAAGAAAACAGAAACAGGACTACTGGCATAAAATTTGAGAAGTGAGGATATAAATCCAAGTGCTTCCCTTCTTTAAGACTCTTCTGGCATTCCATGGCAAAGAACTTGAAAGAGCACAACTGCAAGCCAGTATTAACCCTATACACATTCAGATTCTTTTCTAAGAGGCAAATGTGACATTAAGGAGTGCTATACACCTTTTGCCCATATTACCTGCACAGGTTAAATAGTCATGAACAGTCAGCCATTTGCCTATCCCAAAAATTCGTTTTATCACGTTCAGTTTGACCTGTTATTTGGAAACCTCACAATACTAGATACTAGAATCTATTTTCCAACAGTGCTTCTCTGCTTCTGTTTTTATCCCTAGTCCCAATTCAGCCATATTTGGCATTAAAAAAAAAAAAAAAAAAAGATACAAGAGGAACAACAAATATTAATAAAACTGAAGGGTGAATTTGAAGAATGAAAAACTATAGAGAAGGCTAGCATGAGACGGTGAAAAATGGACACCACAAACTCGAAGCAATTGGTCCATGTTTTATTAAGAGAGGAGAAAATTCTCTTGAAATGCAGGCTTACTGCTGCTGAGTAACACCCTGTAACTTTTCTTCTATCTAATGCTTTGACAGCTGGAATTTCTCTGTAATTCAATAAGCTCTTAGGAGTTTCCCAAGCTTCATCCATCCTGCTGGCCTCATTACTGGATAACTCTAAATGTTTTCTGCACTAGCGAAGAGCACATTTCCTAGTGGGTAGCACAACACAAGGAAAGTACTCTTTCAAGACATGAATAGCCTAGCTCCGTTTCTTCTCACTTCTCCTGTAGGTGAGAAGTCTACAACAAATGTAATTCAACAACTAAAAGAAATGTCTGACTTATAGCTTAGGTTAGTGGGGTTGTCAAAGATCATCCTACAGGTCGCCGGTTTTATACAAAGTGTGAGGGCTAATCATTATTTATTTATATAAGCTAATGAAAAATCTATACTTTTACTTCTGGTACTAGCTCATTTACTTATGTCTAATGAGTTGCCTGAGGGCCAAATAAAAAATATACCAGTCTTTTCATTCATTCTGGTGAGACATTTGTGAATAGTTAGCTTGTGGAGCTAATGAGGACAAGGTCACAGACTCAAACTCCATGTTGGCCAATTAGCTTTGCTGTGTGTTTCAGGGTTCCATGGTCACAGTCAACAACCTTAACCTTGGCTAAGAAGCACACCGATCATTGAAGCATTAGGGGAATAAATATAGATGTATCAACAAAATCCATATGTTTCTGAAAAATAAAATAATAAAAATTAAAAACTGGCCTGGCGCTGGCTCACATCTGTAATTCCAGCACTTTGGGTGGCCAAGGTGGGCTGATCACCTGAGGTCAGGAGATCAACACCATCCTGGCTAACACGGTGAAACCCCATGTTTACTAAAAATACAAAAAATTAGCTGGGCGTGGTGGCACGTGCCTGTAGTCCCAGCTACTCAAGAGGCTGAGGCAGGAGAATCCCTTGAACCTGGGAGGCAGAGGTTGCAGTGAGCCAAGATAACGCCACTGCAGTCCATCCTGGGCAACAGAGCGAGACTCCATCTCAAAAAAAAAAAAAAAAGAGCACATACTTTAAAAATAGTAATAACACCCCGATCTTTAATAGTATACTAAACCTGGCTAGTATGTGCCTCATTCAAATAATTTTTCATCTTTTCGACCATGCAGGATTAGTCTAATCTGTCTTTCAGATGATGAGAAACTGAATTCAGAATGATCATATGTACCAAAGTTACATCTAATGAGCCTGGATTCAGATCTTGGTCTGTCTTGACTCCAAAGCACAGGTTATTGCCACAATGATATATGGCCTCTCCAGCGTTGCACCTCAGTGACCTGGGACAACCAACAAAATGTTCCTATTCAAAACTATTCGGCACATTCATTACTGAGCATCCACTATGCATATTCACAGACTGTAGCTGAGAATTAGTATACCTTCCAAAAATTACTTTTAAGTAAAAAACAGTCAAGGAACAAAAGTGTTTAATTGATTTTTTATTTTTAATCAGACAAGGTCTCACTTTGTTGCCCAGGCTCTCGAACGCCTGGCCTCCAATGAGCCTACCTAAAAGGATCTCAAAGTGCTGGAATTACAGGAGTGAGCTATCACACCCAGTCAAAGTGTTTAAGATTAAAACATAAAGAAAAAATTAACACATTATAGCACACAAAGTACATTTTAATGGAAGTGACTTTCTATTGTCATAGCTTTGTATACAAGTCTGGTGTGAAAAAATAGTTATCTTGCTGATTTATAACCAAAGGTAAGAAAGTAGCTGGTAAAACATAGCCCAGGGATACCACAACAAAAACACAGAGTAAAGGAAACATTTTCTAAGCATCTAAATCTGCTTGGAAAATATATGGTATTTGCAGATATGTGGTAGTCAATACGGCACTTGAAGGAAGTAAAAAATACATATTTCAATTCTAAACTCCAAGACTTTGCCTTGACCAACAAATCATTTTTCTCTATAAGGCTTTCCTCCTTGGTCTTTCTCAACTCTCACTGCCTGCAGATACACACATACCAATGCCATCATCAGCATCAGTCACTAAGAAATGCCATCTTGAAAAAATGAAGGTCACCAAGTCTCCCAGACCCTATCCAATAGGCTGAAATTTTAAAGTCAAATCGTCTGGCTTAAAAAAAATAAAAATAAGGCAGGAAGACAAAACTGTTCCATAAAAGTCTATCCTAGTCAATATCAGAGGCATAAAGATAGATAATTGTTCTGTCACAAGCTACAATGTACAGAAGTGCATTCTTACTACAGGTTATAAATGAAGCACCAGTTCAATTTCAACAAACTAGGTACAAAGCCACATTTAGAATCTCTGGAAAAACAAAAACACAGCAAAGCCCAATAATGTTGCACAACAGCATTTTAGGAACCTCTAAAATTGTAAAAAAAATCTAATATAATTTCAATACAAAATGTAATTGCTAAAAAAACAAACTGCAACCTGAGAACTTCTATTTACTGTACAGAACTTCTTAAAGTTTTAGAATTAAGGATGACTATCCATTTTACAGATAAATGGAATTTCAGGAAAATACCTAAAATTATCATCATCACTATTATTATAATCATCAATAACAACAGCAACAAAATAATGAGAGCTTTATTTGTACCCAGCACTACCAAGCCATTTATGGTCACATCTCACTTATTCTTTGTACTCACTTTGTGACATATGCTATTTATCTCCACTTTACAGATTAGTAAACAGGCTCAGAGAAGTCAACTAATTTACTCCAAATAAAAAACTACAGGTTCAGAATCCCTAATGTGAAAATCCGAAATCCAAAATGCTCCACAAACTTTTTTTTTTTTTTTGAGACTCCACTCTGTCTCCAGATTGGAGTGCACTGGCGCGATCTTCTCACCTCACTGCAACCTCTGCCTCCCAGGTTCAAGCGATTACCTGCCTCAGCCTCCTGAGTAGCTGGGACTACAGGCGCGCACACCACCATGCCAGGCTAACTTTTTGTATTTTAGTATAGACAAGGTTTCACCATGCTGACCAGGATAGTCTTGATCTGCTGACCTCGAGATCCACCCGACTCAGCCTCCCAAAGTGCTGGGATTACAGGCATAAGGTAGCTCGCCTGGCCACAAATTATCAAATTATTAAAAATAGTATATTTTTAATAATTATTAATAATAGTATATAAGGTATATATGAAACCTGAATAAATTTCATGTTTAGATTTGGGACCCATCCCAAAGACATCTCACTATACATATGCAAATATTCCAAAATCTGAAATTTGAAACACTCTGGTCCCAAGCATTTCAGATAAGGATACTCCAACCTGTAGTAAGCCACAGAACCAGGATTAGAACTCAAATTTGCTTAAATTTATACAAAGAGCAAATGAACTTTACTATCATCCTGTCTTGTTTTTGAACCATTTTCAAGTATTCTTCAATCAATAAATTCAGAATAAACACAGGCTAAAAATACCAAATTACTACACTTTCATACCCCTTTAAAAATTAATTGCAGAGTAACAATGGGCCCAGTGGCTCACGCCTGTAATACCAACACTTTGGGAGGCCGAGGTGGGAGGATCATTTGGGCCCAGGAGTTGGACCAGCCTGGGTAACATAGTGAAATCCTGATTCTATCCACCACCCCCCCCAAAAAAAACTGATTACAGAAATACCACTTTCTACAAGGGGAAAAATTAGACAATAAGCAACTTCCTTAAAAGTCTCGAAGCTTAACGTCGAAAAAGGAAACAGAATGGAATATTTGGCTATTTATAGTCTAAATTTTAACTGTGACACAAGACACAAGACCTGCTGGGGACAGGTATTTGTTGTAGCACCACCATATCTGAGTAACATTTGCTATTTTCTGAGATGCTGGTACCTGCGTGATGCTGAAGGAAAGTTATAACACAACAAGAGGGGTAGACAGTTGTGCGTGCTGAGGAAGAAGAGTCTAAATTCTGGTGGGCCTTAAAATCCAGATGAAGTTTTAAATCGACTCCACAGGTGGCAACGCCCTAAGGTCACCTCTTCACTAGGAACCTGGCATAAAAACATTTGTATGGTTCAGATTCGTTTCCAAAGACATTTCCCCCTACTTATTAACTAATTTGATCTTGGTATAGACACGAACTTGGTTTTAAAACTCAACTGACCCAGACTGGAGACTGGAGGACAAGGTTATACCTGAAACACGCTTTAGAGTTCAAAGCTTTTGCACGAATATCACTTCTGGTGAAGCCCACAACAACCCTGGAAGGCAGCAGGGCAAAGACCATTATCCCCACTTTTCAGAAAAGGAAACCGAGGCTGCAGTAAACAAACTACGGTACAAAAGATCACAGGTCCAGCCAAGTGGCAGACTGCGAGTTCTCCCAGGACATCAAACTGCAAATGCTGTGTCCCGTCTCGTACACAACTGAGAGGCGGCTACACTGACAAACTTTAAAGGTCGGACTTGAGGTTTTTCCAAGGCCTTCTAAGAAAGAGGAGGAAGTACATGCTCCTTTATAGATTGCTCACTCCCAGCCCGTAGCCCGAGGCTCCCGGGCAGCGAAAGAGGCTCACAGGCAAGTCTCGAAGCGAAGCCCGGAAACCGGCAGCAGCCCCGGGATCGTCTCGGGGGCACCCTCTACGGCCCACGCCCCCGCAGCCCCGAGGGGGTGACCAGGGACCCCGCTCAATACCTGTTGAAACCCAGAAAAAGTCCTCTCCGCCAGAAGCATTTGGGGCGAGCACCTAAAGCGAGCACGAGCCCCGCTGAGGGCAAATGATCCCCGGCAACCACGGGGCCGCAAGGGTCGGAAGGTGTGAGCTTCCCAGTAACCTCCGCCCCAGGCGGGGGGCGGCCCCACGCGTCAGGTGAGGAAAAAACTATCAGTAACAAACGAAGAAACGGAAATCTTGTCCCGGGCTGTGAAGGAAGAAGTGGAGATTACAAGTCCTAGCTTGGGGTACAGAAGGAGGGAATGTGGGACTAGCTGTTACCCGCGTACAGTCGCTCGCCGCTTCCGCCGTCTCCGCGAAGCTCTAGCTCTTCCGCTCGCGCCGATGGAGCTCGCGCCAGGACTCGGCTCCGCCCACCCCCAATGCCGCGGGGCCTTCTGGGGGTTGTAGTCTCCGCGAGGAACGGCCTGCGCCTATTGCGTCCAGGTCACGTGGGGAGAAGCTGGCAAAACGGCGAGTTCCGAAGGGCGTTTGCGCTTCTGTCCCTTCAACCCTCCCTCATTCCTCTACGCTATACAAGTGCGCAAATCTCCTCACATCCCACTCAATCATACCGTCTTAATTCTTTCGTTCACAGCCAAGTTTCTTGAAAAAGATCATCTTCACTGTCTCTACTTACTCAGCTGTGTTCACTCTGCACTGCAGCTTCCGCCCCCATGGAATGTCTCGTCATCAGTGTCCTTGTTACCAAACTCCTTGGAGGTATTTTGGACCTATCTAACTCAAGCTTTAGTCATTTGAGCTATCGGGCATTATCACTTATTTTCTATGACATTATCCAGGTTTTCCTTCTCTCAATTCATTCTACTCGATTTCCTTCAAGAATTGCTTTTCTTCTACCTAACCTCTTAAATATTAGTGTTTTCCAGAGTTCTTAGGATTGGGGTGGGCGAGGGGACACTTCAGTCCCTTCTCACCTGAGCTCACTGTTTGTATTCCCAACTTCCTAGACCTCTCCTCATCCATGCCTACAGGCATCTCTAATGTCCTCAAAAAGTGAACTACTGGGGCCAAACATGGTGGCTCAAGCCTGTAATCCCAACACTTTGGGAGGCCAAGGCAGGTGGATCACCTGCAGTCAGGGGTTGGAGACCAGCCTGACCAACATGGTGAAACCCTACCTCTACTAAAAATACAAAAATTAGCTGGGCATGGTGGCAGGCGCCTGTAATCTCAGCTACTCGGGAGGCTGAGGCATGAGAACTGCTTGAACCCAGGATTCGGAGGTTGCAGTGAGCCAAAATTGCACTCCAGCCTTGGCAACAAAGCGAGACTCTGTCTCAAAAAAAACAAAACAAAAAAGTGAACTACTCTTCCACCTCCCTACTCATTAATTGTAAGGTCTTTTAGGCTGACTGACAGTGCCATGGACACCATGTTAACCTCTGTGACCTGCACAGACACTCTGGATGAGCTCCTGGAAAATCTAAAGTAACTGGAAGACCATGAAAAGAGGAAGAAATAATCAACCCTGACTTAACTTTGAGACATTCTCTATTGTTTCTTATTCCCTCCATAATTAATAAAGCTATTGGATTTTGTAACTGATCTTGGTCAACTCCACACCTTATGACCCCCTCCCAGCTTGCAAAAAACCACCCTAAACTATAATTCTCCCACTGCCCTGACACACTTTTCAGCCTCAGCCCACCTGCACCCAGGTGAATAAACAGCCATGTTGCTCACACAAAGCCTGTTTAGGGGTCTGTTCATTCAGTGCACACATTTTAACATTGACATTCACTCCTTTCTCAATTCCTGATACCTTCTATATTCCTCCTTTCTCAATTCCTGATTCCTCCTTTCTCAATTCCTCTTCCTTCTGTATTCAAATGGTCACCAAACCTTGTGGATTCTATCTCCCAAGTACTTCTTGAATCGGTTCCTTCTTCATACCTACTGCCAGTGATTTAATTCCCACCCACATCATTTCTTTGTTGATTACTGTAAGGGCTTCCTTACTGATCTCAGTACCTTTATTGGGTCCTCCCTACTTGCTCAGCCCCATTTATGCAAACAGCACCTTTTTTTTTTTTAATTTTAAATGGAGTCTCCCTGTCATCCAGGCTGGAGTGCAGTGGCACAATCTTGGCTCACTGCAACTTCCACCTCCTGGGTTCCAGCAATTCTCCTGCCTTAGCCTCCTGGGTAGCTGGAACTGTAGGCACCTACCCCCCCCCCAAGCTAATTTTTATATTTCTAGTAGAAATGGGGTTGCACCATGTTGGCCAGACTGGTCTCAAACTCTTGACCTCCAGTGATCAACTGGCCTTGGCCTCCCAAAGTGCTGGGATTACAGGCATGAGCCACATGCCTGGCCCAAACAGCAACTTTAATCACGTCACAATGTGGTAAATCCTTCAAAGGCTCTACTTGATTGAGTTTGGGAAGAGGAATAGAGATGGGTAGCTTTTATTAAATGTGAATGCCAGCCCTAGTGAGGAAGGAGACCCTTAATCACCCTTAAGCATCTAAGACCACGTCCCCCTTGACTTCCACATTGCATTTCAATAGAAGAAGTAAAGGCTGGCAGACTGGGAGCCACCTTTAATTGCCCTCCTATAGATTACAGGCATGGTATGGAGGAATCTTTCCAGAAGGCATTGTTTTTACTTAAACACAATCAAACCCCCACCTAAGTCACTGTACCCCACCCTAATCCGTGGCCTAAGACCCTTTCACATGTAAATTCTAGAGTTGTAAGCCTAAGACCCTTTCACATGTAAATTCTAGAGCTGTAAACCCAAGACCCTTTTACATGTAATATCTGGAGTTGTAAGCCTTTATAAAGGTGGAGACTTCCTTTGTTAGACAGGCTTGGCTGTTAGGCAGCTATGCCACCTTGCTCCCAGCCGAATAAATCACCCCTTCCTTCCCAGTTCAGTGTTTGAGAGGTTTGTTTCCTGGCCTTTTCCTGCTTCACTACTTCTCTCACTCTCATCCTGCAACCACCTTTGCAAAATTATGACAGTAAAAGAAATCTGCCACAGTAAACTCCATCTTGCTTCTGACCTCCAAGCTGCCCTTGGTCATTCCTGGGCATAGGCCAAACTAACTTTGGGAGGAATTTAGTTTATAGTTTAACTTGAAAACAAGGATAATAATAGTCCCTCCCTAAAACTAACCGCATCCTTTCTTGGGGACCAAAAACTGCCTTTGTAAAACTAATGAAAGACCACAAGAGCAGGATTATGGAAGGGGCCTAACCTCTGCCAAAATATGAGTGTAGTTTCCATAATCCCTTTCTCCTCAGGAGTCATGTGGCCAGAGGTCACAGGATTTGTGACTTTCCCAGTTGTGCCTGTAGATAACATCACTAATGTAGAACCTGAATTGATTTTGAGATATCTTTCAGACTGACCCCACCAGGACTCTTAACTCATGACTCAGTTGCTCCTGTGACCCCACACAGAGGTAGAATGAGAGCATGAGGACTGTTTTCCACACCCCTATGATTTCATCCCCAGCCAGTCAGCAGCACCCATTCCCTAGCCCCCTGCCTACCAAAATGTCCATAAAAAACCCTAACCTCTGAGCCTTCAGAGAGATTGATTTGAGTGATAACTCTGTCATCAATTAAATTATTTACTGCATTGCCATGGTCTTATTAAATTGGTGTTTTTTGTGTAGCAGGCAGGAAGAACTCATCAGGCAATTAAAATTCCGTATTGTGGCTAGGAGGTTCAGTGAAGGAAGATTTACAGCAAACGTTATTGTAGGATAGGTGGACATGGGCATTTTTTGACAGTTACCCAGAAAACCCCATTGTGGCTCATGCCTGCAATCCCAGCAATTTGAGAGACTGACATGGGAGAATTGCTTGAATCCAGGAGGTCGAGACCAGCCTAGACAACATAAGGAGAACTCGTCTCTACAATTTTTTTTTTAATTAGCCAGGTATGGTGGCACAAGCCTGTAGTCCTAGCTTCTTGGAAGGCTGAGGTAGGTGGATCACTTGAGCCTAAGAATTCAAGGTTATGGTGAGCCATGATTGTGCCACTGCCTTCCAGCCTGGGCAATCCTGTCTTAAAAATAAAATAAAATAAACTTCCCTGGTGATTCAATCATTCAACAAAATATGTTTTGTTTCTTGCTGTGTACCAGTGCTGGGTACTGAGAAAACAGCAGTGAACAGAATATTACCTGGCCTTGTGGAGTTTACATTCTCCTGGAAGAGACAGATATTAATCAAATGAGTTCATACCAAAAATCAAAACCAACAAAAAACCCATAGTTACCAGCTGTAATAAAGTAATGGAGGAAAAGTATTATAACTGGTCCCTTTCCCCTTTTCTGCCACTTGTCCCAGCCGAGATTGGGAACGAGTTTATGCTCCTTAACATATCAAACAAAGCCTGTCAGGAGCTAATCTCCTCCACTCCCTCCCACAGACATCTTAGATTTACCAAACTGCTGTAGCACTTGCTCTTTAACCTTTGCATAAGCTATCCCTCTGTTTGGAAAACCCTCCCTCTTCTCATTTGACTAACTTCTACTGCTGTCTAATTCTCTGCTGTGGGATTCAGAGCAAACCCAGTAGAACATCAGCCACATGAAAGGATTTTCTGAGGATTGTGCTGAGTCAGATGATAAGCCTCAGGCATACAGCAGTGGGCTGAGTAGGGGTCCCAGAAACAGTGAAATGTGGCCTACAGGGAACAGGACTGTGTTATCCAGTTTAGAGGTATCAGGCCAGAGCCAACCTACCCACCCTTCAAAACACAAATCAAGTATCGTCTCCTCCAGGAAGCCTTTGCTGAACTCTGCTCCCCACCCCTGCCAAGATAAACTAGGGCCCTTTTCCTGGGCACTCATTGCACCCATGTTTGCGTCTCTTCCAGTGATATGCTAGAGCCAGCTCATACCAACTTTGTTATTTATTATTTATTTAATTAATTTTTTAATAGAGACGAATTCTCACTATGTTG